AGATCTTTTGACCTGGAATTTTTCTGAGGGTTAGGGTGCCAAAAAGTGCTAGTTGATCTTTTAGTGCGAAAGTATAGAAGGAATAGCAGAAATAAATTGACCACTGTTGCTCAAAGGGATATGGAACTTAAGCAACAGCCAAGCTCTGTCCCATGAATGTAATAAAGCTAAAGCAAACAACTAATAATAATTAGATCACATATTCAGCATCAGTGGACTACATTATCTCTTTATTCTAGTGCAGAGGTAGGCAACCTTGGCTCTTTTATGACTCGTGGACTTCAACTTCCAGAATTCCTGAGCCAGCTATGCTGGGAGTTCTGGGAGTTGAAGTCCACAAGTCATAAAAGAGCCAAGCTTGCCTACCCCTGTTCTAGTGTGTATAAAAAGGAGAACAAGTTCCGAACTATATGGAGATTAGGGATCAGTGTAAAAATCTCTTTACAATTCAAAGTTGACTCTTCAGAAAAAGTTGAGAAAGTGTTCATTCACGGTGAAAGAAATTTGAAGTGAGGTTAGCCAAGGATTACTTTTAGAACATGATGTGAGAAGGTTTCTTAGATCACACCCATTTTTGCAATGGTTGACTAATAACGCTACATACGACATCCCTGTGTTCACAATATAATTCTTGATCAGCGGGGATTTCTCTAGTGAGGTGAAGAATTTATTAAAACATCAAAACACAAAAATAAAGAACATGCTATGGCAGCAGATGTCAACAAAGATTAAGAAAACAACAACAGAAAGAAACATTTCATTTACACTAAAACTAAAATGTGGGAATAATTAACAAAAAAAACCATTAAAGATGCTTGAAAGCTTTGTTTTTCAGCCTTCTTTCAGAAGGGTAAGTGGCAAAATTCAGTCTCCCAGCCTTCAACTGCTAAAAGAGGAACTCCACTATGAAGCTCCATATGAGGAAACAAAATTCAAATTATAATCTTTCTTTAAACTTCAAATTTCTATAACATCTTTGGATTTAATCCCTTATTGTATCTAACCTATATAGGTATAGTTTTCTATATTAATATCTTCCCTCATTATTATCCCTGGTTTATGAATGTTCACACTCACTGAAAACTACATTAGATGTATGGTAATGGAATGATGGAATTGTTTATTTAGCCAAATAAGACTGTAATATTCTTGAAGAGATACTTTACACTGTCAATACAGAAAGTCATTAATGGACTATTGTCATCTCAGTAGAGGACATGTGATGCAGCTCTGATTATGAGATTGCCAAAGGTTTGGAGTAATTTAATCCTTTCTTTTTATTCTAGCATTACCAGAACGTTTGCGTCAGGTAAAACTGAAAAAGTGATATTTCAGGCACTTAAAGAATTGGGTCTTCCCAGTGGAAAGGTATTTAAATTTAATTTTCAAGAATTAATGGTTTCAAGATGGGTATCCTGAGCCTAAAACAGTTAATAGTTGCAGTTGATTATTCAATATCACTTCAAAAATAATTCATTAGCAATTTGTCCATTGATAACTTTTATGCTAATTATAATTAGAATATTTTAATGTAATAGGCTATATACCATACACATAAAATAATGTACATTATTGTTGTTATAGAGAACTATTCCCAGATTTTTTTTTAGTCAAATAACATTAAATGATTTGCTTCCGTTCATAATGAACATGTTGTAAATTCTTCCATTGCTAAGTCAGTGCTTATACAACCTGGTACATGTTAGATTTTATTTTATTTTATTTTCAGAATGATGAAATAGAGCCTTCAGCTTTTACTTTTGAGAAGTTTTATGAACTGACCCAGAAGATATGTCCTCGTACTGATATAGAGGAGCTTTTTAGAAAAATGTAAGTTGGCCATTACTCTACATAATGAACTTAATTTTAATGTTACTTAATCTGAAGATAATGCTATGTCATGCAGTGTTCCTATTAGAAGTCAAATTTCTTCTCCAAAGGTTTAACTCAGTTGAATGTTCAGATTCAGGTTTTCAGTACCTTTTGATTTAAAGAAACCGTTTCTGTTTTTAAATTGGCTTTACTAACCTATAATATTAACTTGCTATTATAAGGTTATTAACAACAATATATGAACTAACTAGATTAAGAAAGTCTTAACATCTGAGGTTTCATGCACTAAGTTTTTAATGTGGAAGACTTACATGTTGAATTGCTTCTTTCTTTAATCTATTAAATGGGGGATAAAGATAAGGAGCTGTTTTGTAGCAAGCATAGTCAGTATCATTTATTAATATTCATTTTGAAAATGCAGCTTAGGTGTGTTAAAGAGTATTAGATCAATACCGAGAATATAAAAGAAATGTCAACATGTAAATCATACCTGCTGTAGGATCTTACATGAAAACTTACGTTTTTCTAATACATTTCTTTTCAGCAATGGAGACAAAACAGATTATTTAACGGTAGACCAATTAGTGAGCTTTCTAAATGAAGTAAGCTTTTTCGTACATTAACTACCTTACAAGTCTGTCTGCAGTGGCTTGCTTCTCCCGGTCGTATCATTGCATGATCCACGCTATCATTCGCTGTGCTTCTGCTCTGCTGGTCTTTCCATTTCGGCAGGACTGCAGGTGCAAAAATCAGCTCCAACTTGATGCATTCTCCCGTTCTCTTTTTTGTTGGCTTTGCAACTTGCTTGCCCTGATTATTTGCTGTATTATGTAGATGATCTGTGTGTGGTTGTTTCGTTTCTATTCTATATGTTGTTTTAACCAAATGATCTGAAATCTTTTTATTTTTAGGAATTTTTAGAAGGGCTTCTAAATATTGAGGAGGTGGTGGCAGGGAAATTGGGCTTCTCTGTTCAGTGACTAAAATGTTTCATTTCAACTGATTTTTTTTCCTGAGGTTTACATGTGACCTGGCTGTCTTCAGAATGCTTGCATTTCTATAGTAGGCGGTATGTCAGTGATATCAAGTTTTTTAGATGTTAGATATTCTTTCTATGCATTACCAAAATACACAGTATTTTTTTAAATTAGATGCTCAATGGAGAATTCTTTGCGGTAAGTTTTAAAAATTCTTTTTGTTAAACGGTTGGCATTCAGTACTTCATTGTTTAGTCCCGTAGATTGTACAAACAATATTGTTCGTATTTTGAATAATGTGTGTGAACCAGTTGTTAGACATTTCTTAAGTGCTCCTTGGCAATGCAAAGTAGGCCAATAGGCCTCCTTAAGGTTTTTCCCTGGGGCGAAATTTAAAAAATCAGCAGCAGCAAGGCAGGATTCATGCCCCTGCTGACAAATATATTCCACCTGTTATCCTTTCCAGGTCCATGAGAGAAAAGAATTATTTCACAATAGCCAGTTTATAATGCAATTCTGATGTAGGTCCATTTTATTTTTCACTATCATGGAATTACTCTGAAGAGCCCGCACACTCTTGCTTGAGGCATAGAAGTCTCTCCCAGGCTCAGATTTGGAAAAACTTCAGCAGCAAATTCCTTTTAATTCTTCCAAAATACTCATTTCAATGTTTGCATTTTTATAAAATACTTACCCTGAGAAAGAGAACGTTAAAGCTCCAGAAGACTTCTAAGTAGCAAAGAATTCTATTTGGCTCTCAGTAGTATTGTTTAAATTTTCCTGTTGCTTTATAATAGCCACTCATCCAGCAACTGTTTACATTTATGGCAGTGATGAAAAAGTAATTTTACGACCATACCTCACATTGCAATCTTTGTAGGTCTATAAAGCAAAGGAAAGCTGAAATAAGATGGCAATTTCCAGTTTCACTTAGCAACTGCTTTACTCAACTACCAAGTTGCCGGTCCCAGTTGTGGTTGCTAAACAAGAATTACCTGTACAAATATGTCACTAAAATTGGCTGTTTTCACTAAAGGTGAATTTGCTATCCTATTGTCAGCTTTTGCATTCTGATAGGAAAATGGAAGATAACACTTCGGCTTCTCACATTTTAAGTACAGCTTTGTCCCAGTTGCAGAATTTTCATTAAGGAATGATCTAACTTATTTGTCTTTGTATGAGTTCCTTACTAGCAATTTTAGGAATGGATCATCACGAACTGAAATTCATAAATTCATATTTTTAAGCAGACTGGTCATTAGCACTGGCAAAAGAAAACAACATATATCGACCTATGGAATTCATTACCATAAATGTAAAGATGGTCACTATCTTTCAGAGTGGATTACTGAAATGCATGAAGAAGGGGCCAGGTCAATCTTCTATTACTATATAAGATATGATTACAATTCTTGGTTCACATATTATATTAGCCATGATTTATGATTATGGTTTGTTGAAGAACTCAGAGAGAGTTATTTATTTAATTGCAAATATGTAAGGGCACACATAATTACTAAGTGAAGTAAATGATTTTGTATATCATGCTATGCCAGGAATAAGCTAAGCACATTGTTCCTTAGCATGATGATTAAAAGTCGGCCTCTGATATCGCACGTGCTAAGTTGAGTTGCAGAACTCAAAAAAAATTTTTTTTCTAACCATAGCTGTGGAAATACGCTGATTACACAGACCTTTCATTTGATCCATCAGAACTGATGCAATTTTTGAGGAGTGGAAAGATTTGTTCAAATATGACAATATAAGAATCCAAGAGAAGGAGAAATTTGGGGGAATTGTTTTTAAATGTTCAGATTCTAACTTTCTTCTCTCTAGAATTCTGCATTAGTAATTTGAAATACTATATTATTTCATATATAATGTAAAGAGCAGGTAGATTGTTAATATGTACTGAAACCATCTTGTTGGTTTTGCCACTGATTTTGGATATCGTATTGAAACACATGTTGCAAAGCTATTCACTGTACATGTTGGAGAATATGATTTTGTGGTTGGATTGTGAAGTTGCGTCCTCTTTTTCAATAATGCTTGCATTAAATAATGCATGCATCTAACAGCTTTTATATTTCATTAGTTTTAGCTTGTCTGTTATATAGCTGACTAGTTTTAGTGTAATTATCCAGTATAGTGAATTAAATTAAAACAGTACATCTGGTGTATAATATTTGGAGCATAGATTAAGAGATTATGATTTGCAATATACGACTGCATTTTTAATAGTCGGGGAGCAGACAAAGAATGTGTTCACTAGAAAGAACAGTCATTCATATGCTTTACATTGGTTATTGCTAGATATTACAGAGAATGCCCAGAATATTTTAGAAATTGCTACCGATGTTCCTCGGAGTATATTGGCAACTCCAAAAGTGCTGTCTGATAACACAGGAGTTTTTGCGTTCCTTCTTTAAACTTTTTTATTTTTAAGTCTCCTATGAAAGGCTTATCTACACAGAAGGATTTATTTTGCTTACATGCGCATATATGTCATTTTTAATGACAGATCAAGCAGGAACTGAACCCACTCTTACTATATACATTTGTGCTGTGCAACTTCTTGTTAGCATTTAATCTGAAGCTTGGCTAGTATCTTAGGAAAGGATTGAATTGGACTTGTTTGTGAGATGTTTGATTAGGATTGGGCTGAGCAGAAGTTAATAGAATCCAGTTTCTGTTAATCTTCTGGAGGTGGTGCGGACTAGAAACACAACAAAAGAGTGCTGGTTCTATCTTTATTATAAGGATACATAGATTTGCAAGATTAATAGAATCTTACATGTCTGAAAATACCTTCCCTTTCATTTTTACTCTTCTAGAAACCAGGAGGTCCTTTCTGAGACCACTTTTGCCACCCTTCCTCTTTCGAACTCAAAAGTTACAGTTGCTCAAGAAAGCATTTATAGAAAAGTGTAAAAAGCTACAGTTGTTTCCAATCTAGACAAGAAATTCTCATCCTGTCTAGAAATTCCCCAAGGCAGGCATGTCAAACATGCGGCCTGCGGGCTGGATGTGGCCCACGCAGGCCACATCCACCCTGGCCCTGCAAGGGCAAAACAAGTCCCGATATGTCATGATACAGCCTACGATGCAATCGGGTTTGACACCCCTGCCCCAAGGCAAGCCTAGGTGGGTAAGAACAATTTTGAGTCCAATCATATTTCATTACTTAGGAAGCTGCTTCAATCTGAAGTTCTGATATATTATCTTCCTTCCTTCCTTCCTTCCTTCCTTCCTTCCTTCCTTCCTTCCTTCCTTCCTTCCTTCCTTCCTTCCTTCCTTCCTTCCTTCCTTCCTCCCTCCCATCCATCCATCCATCCATCCATCCAAACTGCATAGCTGCCTATCTCATGGTAATGAATCTGGGTGGGTGTGCAAAAATTAAAACGTATAAGAAAAAAAATCCAAATAATAAATGTCCAAGGTCACAAAAATCATTCCAATACAAAAAATAATTTAAAAAGTCAATCAACCAGCATGTTACTCAGTTGCATGGCCCAAACACCAGAGGGGATACCCAGATCTTAAGCTGTATGAAATTCTGATAGGCCATTTGGATCCCTTTAGATGCCACTTGAACAAAAGGAAAGGCCTTAAACTAAATGATGAATGATGAACTGAGCTAGAATTTAGTAAAATGGAGACAATAAAATATTTATTGCATGGAAGGCATTTCATTACTACAATGAATGTTGTACTATATATTTTAGTCTTATTCAAGTATGCTACATATAGCAAGGACTTACTAGATTGTTTTAATTACTAAAACCAAAAAAGGAATAAGAGTGGTGACAATCTATATAGTATTAACAAAAGTTGTTTCCATAACTTTTAACTGGACAAAATGATGCATCATAGGGCAACAATTTTTGAACCTCAGATGGGCTAACTTACAGAATGTATCCAAATCTGAGACCCATGACTCCCATGGAACTGAACTTTGGCAAATTTTATAAAACAGTTTATGATATAATATAAAACGTCATAGAACATGTGCTGATGTTTGACTGTGCTATACAGTTCAACATGGGCTATTTTAGAGACAGATACCTGTCTGAATGTATCTCAATTTTTCCAATGAAGGCAGTACATTAGATGTTCTGTTACTGTTGAAAGCATTGAGGAAATCTGGTAAGGAAATACTGTATCTCTGAAAGGATGACTCAGCAAGTCACCAGCTGTCTAGTATTGTGCTAATTCCAAAAGGTAATTAGAACCGTTATCTGACAGTTACTCTAAGTAATATAGAAATTGATTTTGACTCAGGTATTTCAAACAATAATGGGTAAAATCTTTAACAGAAGAATACTCTTAAGAGGGACACCTACCATTTTTAAAAATTCAGACATGAGTGATAAATGTTGGTGATAGAGTTCCAAATTTTTGCTCGCTTGTTGGTTAATTTAGAAGTAAATTAATTTAAGCTATGTATTGAATGCCAAAAATTCTTTAAACATTCATTGCCTCCTGTCCTGTGCAGTTTCATTTTCTTTTCTTTATACTTTTCCTCTTCATACATGAATAGTCATATTTTTAACTCATAATTACCCACATATGGGAATTTCAAAAGCATTTTAGTTCAAGGTTGAAATAGAGAATATTTCACTAATGAATTATGATATGGGCAGTAATGCAGATAAATGATTCTCACTGCATGAATTTGTTTCTTGGTGAACATTTGTAGCCATTGTAGTCATCTGTACTAACATACTATTAGAGTACAGAATTATACTGAACATAAAATAAAATTAATTTACTTGTAAAAATATAGATCTCAAAAAAAGATCAAGAAAAAAAAATAGAAGTCTAAATGACTTTAAAAGCAAGCCCCTCCTGAATATTACTTGCACCGATGAAAGATTTGTAGAAGCAAAACAGCATGTAGTAATTGTCATCAGTCTTGTTTTTTCTTACCTTAGCATCAACGAGATCCTCGGCTGAATGAAATTTTATTTCCGTTCTTTGATCCTAAAAGAGCAATGCAGATAATTGAAATATATGAACCAGATGAAGATTTGAAAAAGAAAGGTAAAAAGAAGAGGTGGATGTCAATAATTTCTGTTAAAAAGTTCAGCTCGCTTGTCGTCAGCTACTCAGTACGTAGGCTGTCCTAAATTTTGTTTCATTGTAGATAACATTGTAAAATGAGGACCCAGATTGTTGGGGGCAATATGCTGATATTGTAAACTGCTCAGAGAGTGCTGTAAAACACCATAGGGCGGTATATAAGTCTAAGTGCTATTGCTATACTTCAGTGTTTTTCAATGTTGGCAACTTTAAGATGTGGGGACTTCAATTCCCCAACCAGCCACATGTCTTAAAATTGCCGCGGTTGGGAAACACTGATATACTTTGTCCATATTTTAAAAGACTCTTTGAGGCATTCGGATAGGCTGTTGTTTTGCTGCCTGCACTGACGGTCAGTATGCTGTATTTCCAATCTCCATTTAAAGGGCAGGGCTGGCTCTAGTCTTCAAAGTCCTAAATGGCTTGTGATCCTAACCAATATTTTTGTCTTGTATTGCAGATAACACTCTGAGCGGGGGGATAGATTGGTTTGATTTTCAAACTGTTCCATTTCTATAACTGTGATTTAGGAAGCAAACATTTCTTGGCTAGGGGCTTTTCCTTAAAAAAAATAGAGGCAAATGGAGATGATCTGGTTCGTCCCATCATCTTGTATGTATGTTGCCTCTTTAAGTGGGAAAAAAAGGTCTGAGTAATTCTCTTTAAATGCCATCTCCTTTAGAACCTGGTTCTTTTTTTCCCCAGGGAAAGGCTGGATTTCCTTTAAAACACAACCAGGAATCAACAAACCCTCCACTTGTCTTCCTCATCAAATGGCCATCTCAGATTAAGGGAACGAACTAGGAGCCCAATTTTAGAATAATGATGAAGCCTGCATTCTAACATTGCGTATCGCTCGTTTCAGGTGTCATGTCAAGTGATGGGTTTTGTCGGTACTTAATGTCAGATGAGAATGCCCCTGTCTTCCTAGACCGTTTAGAGCTCTATCAAGAAATGGAACACCCTCTGGCTCACTATTTTATTAGCTCTTCCCACAACACATATCTCACAGGAAGGCAGTTTGGTGGAAAGTCATCAGTGGAGATGTACAGACAAGTCTTCTTGGCTGGATGCAGGTGAGGTGTGCTTAAGGGAGGCTAAAACTCTTAATTCAGTAAATTTAATTTACCATCAGGTTTGAGTGAATCTGCATGCATATATGTGTATGTGTATGTCTGTAAGCGTATGCACATATTTAACACACACAGTATAAATACTGAAAACCTATTAATAGGATTTCTAGCAATGTATCTCAAGATCTTGAAATAAATTATAGGACAAACAAAGCACAATAAGGATTGGGTTTTGTTTTGTTTTTTTAAAAAAACAATCTGAATGCTTGATTCCTTTGATTATAGATTACCAGCAAATAATAAATTATACTGAAGTCACATGTATTTCATTTATATACATGTACATATAAACTATTTTAATTACCTGCAAAAGTAAGTCTGATGAAACTGCAAGTCCAGCTAAGAAAATAGATTTGCATTTCTTAATCCCTTTCTTTCAGATGACATGCAGAACTATAGCCTATTTAAAACAAATGTTTACCAATAATTTGTGTGGAACTATATTGTTCTTTATAACTTGACTGCTGGGACTAGTTTATACCATCTTTCTTTCCCTTTGACTTCTAGGTGTATTGAACTTGATTGCTGGGATGGAAAAGGTGAAGATCAAGAACCAATAATAACACATGGAAAGGCCATGTGTACAGATATTCTGTTCAAGGTAACCAGTTCCTATGTGATTTTTATTTTCTTGTAGATTTGCCACAGATTCAGCTGCAAACATCTTCTTATGTATTTTTTTTTATCCAAGCTAAGTCTTCTCCTGCTCCCTCCTGATAACATTGCTCATGTTTGAAATATTATTTGTTCTACAATGTAGAATTCATTGTGGTTCTGTTAAGTTTGACATTATTCTTGCTTGTCAGTGAAAAAGGAAGGTGAAAACACCTTCTACGAATAAGGAATATTTGGCTTAGATAGGCCAGTATGGATCAAAGCATTAGTGACATGCCATTATCAGTTCTCCACATATTTCATATTGAGTATTAGAAGTCTTCCCTCTTGACACTTATGTCAACACTGGTGGTTGGATATTTTCCTATGTATTTTGAGAGCAACAATTGCTTATGTAGCAGAAAGTAGGCATTAAGGCCAGTATTGGCGTGAAAGTTCAGTAAAGTTAAAGCTCTGGGAGATCCTCCATTGTCTTCTGGCACCTTTTGTTTGAGATGGCTGCTTCACCTGGCCTAATGACAGGACTGGCCCGAACACCACACTTCAACCATTTGAGGAAATATGGAGAATTTTGTGAAACATAGTATCCAGTTTTTATGATGCGAAGAGATTAAGCTCTTACTTTCTCTGTGATTATGTGTATGTGTACATTCATGTTGAATGAGGCATCTTTCCTGTTGTTTGCTTTGCTCTAGAATGCACCTGAATTTATTTTGAAATGTCCATAACGCCGCTTTGTTGTATTTTTAAAGGATGTGATTCAAGCCATTAAAGAAACAGCCTTTGTAACCTCTGAGTATCCTGTCATCTTGTCCTTTGAAAATCACTGCAGGTGTGTTACGAAGTGGTAACGTTCTATTACACTGTATTTAATTGGTGTGGTGAAAGGGAATTTATGGTAAAATTCGAAGTAGGAACATAATTACTAATGAAGTAATTCTAGTCACAAATAAATTTGAACTCACTCTTAAAAATTTTCTGCCATTACAAATGTTATGTATAACTTGTTTTACCATATTGGTTTTAAACTGTAATGTAATAACAATCTAATACAGTTGAAAGACATTACATATTTTAATTTCTGTTCAGTTTTATATCTTTGATTGATTAACAATAATACTTCTTTTCTAGCAAATACCAGCAATACAAAATGTCAAAATACTGCGAAGATATTTTTGGAGATCTTCTCCTAAAGCAGCCACTAGAAACACATCCAGTAAGAGTCTTCCAACTGTTATGTTTAAATATTCTTGTGGAAATGTTTGGAAATTTGATGGTAAGAGTGATGCACTTACACTGACTGGGTAACACACCATTTGGCATGAGAGAGACTTGGAATTCTGTTGCTGGTGCTTATGTTGTCACTTCAGTGTCCTCACATATTTTTCTAGAGCTCAAGAGTTTCTTACCTATCATTACTTTAATCAGATTCCAGGTAACATCTGCTGTTTCATAACCCAAACTCCTTTGCTTTGTCAGCATCTCATATTTGAAACTCATCATTCCTGGATATTTATAGAAGCCCTCGCCCTCCTGCCTTATAAAGAAGTGCTTCAGGGAATATCTGTTTTTAACATGTGTTTTCCAATTATCAGGGATACTTTAAAGCAGACTATCTCTTCCTGTATAATGTTCAAAACACAGTTTGATGATTTTGATGGGGAGGGGGGCAAACATGTTCTCTGTATGTATGTTTTCACCGGTAGTTATTGTAAGTTTATCCTTTCTCATAGGCCTCAGTAAATCTTTGTAGTTTGAATTTTCTTAGTTTCTCACTTTTCCCATCTTAAAAGTATTCTGTTTTTGCAACGCTTTGCAATTTTTTTAGAAAGAAGTCCATGCAAAATTTCATTTAAAATATACATATTTTTTTTGCAGATTTTGCCTCATATGTGCAGTTTTGTTCATCCATTTACACATATTCACACACATTTTTCTAAGGCATTCGGTTATAGCATCAACCAAAATAAACAGCAAAAAATGCAATATCCTCACTTCTTTAATATTTAAGTGTTTGTTTATGGTAATGTCTGTGACTGATCCACATGACACTTAAATGCTAACATTTCTGGCACTTAGCCAAGATTGAATGCAGTCTAATCCAAAAAATTCCCAGAGTCTTCTCTAGATGTCCTGGGATAGTCCTTCTTTACTGAGACACAGTATCAGTAAGGTATACAGGTAGTCCTCGACTTACCACCACAGTTGAGCCCAAAATTTATGTCGTTAAGTGAGACATCTGTTTAAATGGAGTTTTGCCCCATTTTGTGACCCTTTTAGTCACAGTTGTTAAGTGAATCATAGCAGTTGTTATGTTAGTAACACGGTCATTAAATGAATCTGGCTTACCTATTGACTTTGCTTGCCAGGAGGTGTTAAAAGCCGTTCACATGACCCCAGGATACTGCAACTGTTATAAATATGAACCAGGTGCCAAACATCCGAATTTGGCCACCAGTATGCTGCAACAGTCGTAAGCGTGAAAAATGGTCATAAGTTCACTTTTTTCAGTGCCATTGTAACTTTGAATGGTCACTAAACGAACACTTGTAAGTCAAGGACTACTCTGTTGTTGCATTCTATATTTACACTGTCTGTGTTTGCTATTGATACATAAGCTAGAAGCCTGAAGCATAATAACCTAAGTCAGGGGTCTTCAAACTTGGCCCTTTTATGACTTGTGGACTTCAACTCCCAGAATTCCTTAGCCAGCATGCTTGAGGAATTCTGGGAATTGAAGTCCACAAGTCACAAAAGGGCCAAGTTTGAAGACCCCTGATCTAAGTTGTCAAATGCAAGAAGACAATTCGCTAAGCATCTTACTATATTCAATTTTAAAGGGAGGAATGTATTTCTAACAGGTGCTCTACAAGTCACAAATGACTGTTCTTCTTTTAGGTGTCTGCGTGTGTGCATAATTGCCACAACTATAATAATTGTGAGGAAAGCAGGAACAAAAGACAGCAGTGGGTGTATTTCCTAATTAGGCCTTTTTTTTGCCTTTCAGCTCGAACCAGGAAGGCCCTTACCCTCCCCAAATGATCTGAGAAAAAAAATTCTTATTAAAAACAAAAGGTTGAAACCAGAGGTGGAAAAAAGTAAGTAAATTGCATTTAAAATGCCTAATATCTAAATGAAAAGGCACTATGGCTTAAATGGTGTGCTGGTAACCTCCATTGTTTCCTAATAATAGCACTTTGCTTTATTGTTAACTATTTGCGAAGTCTTGAAAGGGCATCTTCTAGAGCAGTGTTTCTCAACCTTGGCGGCTTGAAGATGGATGGACTTCAACTCCCAGAATTCCCCAGCCAGCAACGCTGGCTGGGGAATTCTGGGAGTTGAAGTCCACTCTTCTTCAAGCTGCCAAGGTTGAGAAGCACTGTTCTAGAGAATCCTACATTCTAAGGTCAAAGTTTTTGTTTTTATCTTATCACTAGACGTATTGAGGGTTGGTTTTTTTTTACTTTTAATAAATATGGCCATTTATGCTCATTGGCAAGGTTGAAAGTTAATATCCCAATGCATCTGGGGGAAAGTTGCTGTAGCCTGTTTGCATGTGTGTATTTATAAAATGTATATGCCTGCCGATCTTATGTATATAACTCTCATTTGTTAAAATCCAGTTTATTAAATTAAAACTTTCATAAAGAAAGCAAAAAAAACCCCCCCACATAATAGTAATACAATATCTGAGACACTCCATAACAAATTCAAAACACAAACCATACCTATATCGAACTCATCTAGCATCTTGGCCCAACACTTGGGGAAAACCCCTGTCTTCATTTGGAGGCCAAAAGAGCTTCTAGATCTTGGTGGGAGGCTGCTCCATAGGGCAGGTGCCATCACAGAAAAAGCAATCTGTAAGTCTATAAGCACTTAGACTTATATATCGCTTCATAGTGCTGTACAGGCCTCTCTAAGCGTTTTACAGAGTCAGCATATTGCCCCTCCCCAACAATCTGGGTCCTCATTTTACTGACCTCGGAAGGATGGAAGGCTGAGTCAACTTTGAGCTGGTGAGAATCGAACTGCTGGCAGCCGGCAGTTAGCGGAAGTAGCTTGTAGTACTGCAGTCTAACCACTGTGCCACCACGCAGAAGACACTGACCTTTTAATTGTTAGAGAATTGGCCATTCAAGATAGCTCATCTTCAATATTTGAAATAAAGTGTGAAAAACAGTCAGAAGTCACTTTTTTCAAAGTCAAAGTGCCATTGTAACTTTGAGCAGTCATTAAACGAATGGTTGTAAGCCGAGGACTACCTGTGTCCGCAGTTCTTATACTGAAGCTTATCAGTGGGTCTTTGCAGCAAAGGGCTTTGATTTTCAGCCAGTTGTCTCAGAGCCTATCACTGGTGTGAGCTGAGAGAAAGTGACTGAGCCAAGGTCACCTAGCTGGATTTCATGCCTGAGAGAGGAGTAGAATTTTCTGCTTCTAGTCCATCGCCTTAACCATGATACCATGCTGGCTCTCAGCCATATTGGTGGGACTGTAGTAATTCATTATGTTTTGTAGAATGGCTGCAATCCTGCACGCCTGTGAGTTGGGTATATTGATTATAATATTAAAACCACTTAAGATTATTACTACTTCTCTTGCCCTTTGATTCTTAGGCTGGTATAAAAGTCATTTTGACCCATGAAAACCTATATCTGGTTTCTGCCATTAGGGAATTGCTGTGTCTGTGCAATGCTATCAAGCACAAAATAATACAATTACATATTACAGCACCCTGTAACCAGGGTAAGAAGGGAACGTATTGCCATGCACATCCATTCCTTCTTGAATATGTACATTTCAGTGATTAGCCGTGTGGCAGTAATTTTGAATAAGATAACAGATTATATTATTCCAATACCAGTAATGAGAAATATTGACCCTGTTGTGGAGTACATTGGAATTCAACTCTTATGCAATCTTTCTGAACCAAGATTTACCTGAATTATTTTCCATAATTGGATTATAAAATTTTGTTGGGTTTTTGTATGGATATGTACACATATTTCTTTTAAATAGAACAGCTTGAAACTTTGAAAAGTATGATGGAAGCTGGTGAAACGGCTGCTCCTGTCAGCATCTTGGAAGATGATAATGAAGAGGAGATAGAAAGTGGTAAAGTGGTTCTTTTACTTATCATATTTTTAAGTTCCTCTTACTGATATTTGCAGTGTATCAGATGACAGCATGCTGGATATGTTGCCTTAGAACAGGGGTGGGGAACCATAGCCCCTTTATGACTTGTAGACTTCAGCTCCCAGAATTCCCGAGCCAGCATAGGATAGTTGGCTCAGGAATTCTGGGAGTTGAAGTCCACAAGTCATAAAAGAGCCATTGTTCCCCACCCCCACCTTAGAATGAGCCCTTTGACTTGACAGCTTATATTCATTGTTTTCTTATAGCAGTCACTTGTACATTTATGTTTGGGTTCTGAATTCAAGGTTATGCGCAGGAAGTACAGGCTGTAATAAGGGGGCAACATCTCTAGCACACACATCATACCCTAAGCCTCCCAAAGCTTTTTCTATTGTCCTCGATGCCCTTCTCAGCTACAGGTTTGATAAATAACTGAACATGGTGGTTTTCAAACTGAACATGGTGGTTTTCAAACTAGATAGGTTGAGAAGGGCTAGATTGAAGGGAGAGAAACTGTTTATGAAAAGTAGTAAATTGACTTTAAGGTAAGTTATGAATGTGACCACTTAAATTTAACATTAAAAAAACAAAACTGGGATTTACCCAGTTGCCAAGCCCTTAGTGAACAGTATACCATTTGTCCTGCTGTGAGTTATTCTCTTCCTCTTTGTCATCCATCAGTTAGCAAACTAATTATGAGTGGTTAATTTATGAAGAGCTATGGGAGAAAATTGAGGACCAACTTTTAGTGCAGAAGGTTAAATCCATGTTTTTAACTGTTGTTGAGTTTACATGAAGTGGAACATGACCTCCTTTAATAGACAAAAGCTAATAAATAGTTAAGGAACCTTTCTGTTGTCTTTGGTTTGATATCTTTGGTTTACTGCTTGGGTTTTTTTTTTGTTAAAGTAATTTTCTGATAATTTTATTCCCTTTTGTACTGTATTGCTACATAGGGGAGCAAGAAGAGGAAGCACATCCCGAGTATAAATTTGGAAGTGAGCTTTCCGCAGATGACCTGAGCCAAAAGGAATCTGTAGCTAATCACATTAAAAAGGTAAGGCAGCTTTTTCCATATATATTTAATTAAAAGATCAGAGACAGCCAAGAGAACAAGACCCACAGTACACATTGTTGGTTAAAAAATGTGTGTGACATTTCAGAATTTAATTATGTTTTAAATAACAAGCAGTGTCATTTTTTCCAGGCCATATTGTACTCTGGTATATCAGGAGTTGGTCCTCAGAAAATACCATGCAGAGCATCCCAAATCATAAGATATCTATTATTTTTTCCCAATAAAAGGCTGCATATCAGTCCCAGAAGATATTGTACAGCCTTCATACCTATAATTTGAATTAAAGTTACAAAGGCAAAAACTGATTTTCTTCTTTGATACTCACTGCTGAAGGACTAGAGAGCTAGGAGTTAATTGTCTCTTGAGTACTTGGTGCCTATACTGAATAATTTCTCACTGATACTGGGAGGAGTAAAAAGCATGGAATGGGACAACTCATCTTTGTCCCGTGATGAGTTGGCCATGGCGAGTTGGCTTATGCTGAGTTGGCCATGGCAAGTAGTCCACGGCAAGTTGTCCTACCTAGACCCTAACAAGCAAGTGTCTGAAAAATAGCAAAAGACACGATCTAAAAGGCCAAATTTGAGATAATAGCAGGAGACCATATAGAAGACTGGAAGAAAGAAGAAGTAATAATTCTGTCTGAGACTGGGACAGCTTCCTCTTCCACCTAAGGACCAGAGATTCTTTGTTAACAGAACATTCCATAGGATATCAATTTTTTTTCTTGTAGAATGTTCTTTGTTAACAGTATTCCAACAGCAAACACATCAAATTCTGCTCGCCCAAGGAAACATTTTAGTTCTGAACTACTTTATAACTTCGCTCCTGCTGGAATTCTGGCGTCTTCCTTCTTATATAGATGTTTTCTGGGTTTTATCTGGGGAGCTGCCCAAGTAAAATATTTGCTTGTTGCCAGCTGGCTTTTATCCAACTTTTTTTTTTTTAAACCCTCTTGGGTTGCTAGTTCAAAAGTTCTAATATCTCAGTTACTTTTTCTTTGTTTCCTCTGGAACTTCAACTTCAATATAATTAAGATTCCCCTTATATCATAGTATGTTTCTAGTTATTTAATGAGCTAGTTCCCTCCATTTAGTCACTGTGTGCTTCATTGTAATCTGGGCTGACTAGTTTGCTTTCACAATGCAGTTATGCAGTATGTAAGCAACAAACATCTTCCAGTGTCACCCCAGGTTTTTCATTGATAATATCAAAGATAAAATTATATGTATTTTCAATATCCATTCACCCAACATGTAGAACTCAATATTGAACCATTTTAGAATCATGAAAATTGATTGCAGTGGGGTATATAAATTCAGTAAATCAATCCCCTGAGCAAACGAGATTTTTTTTTCCCCCACCAGTAACAGGTCTTTTAAAAATAAGCACTGAGCAACTTCAGTTCACTTGTTTTAAATCCAGAAGTATTCTATTATCTAGACTGGACTCCCAACTACGTTATAATTCCTGATTAAGGACTTCCCTTTTTTCCCCTCCTTTCTTCACTTTGGCATCTTATCAACCATGTTGTTTTTGAATAGAAATGGAAACTGCATACAAACAGTGGAAAGGATATATTTAACAGACCTGCCCAAAATATTTTCTCAGTCCTCATTTGAGTTTTGAGTGTGTGATTTTGCAACAACTTTGGGTAATATCTATATTTTTTTCCCATAGGCTGTGGACGATTCTGAACAAGAAAACAATAAAAAGGTGACCCATGAGATATTTTTTCATAGCTTCTACATTTTTAGTTTTCTGCTTTTAATAAAACTGTTTTGTTAACTGTATTTTTAATGCCCTGCATCATTACCTCTTTATTTGGCTAGTATTAAGGATTCAGTAGCTGTGTTGCAGTATCTTTTTCTTTAGAGAAGTACAGGAAATCTAACACCTGCCCTTACCTATACTCCAACATAAAAGGTTCCTGGATGATGGAAGGCCTGCATGAGTTTGGTCTCTCAGCTATATAGGTGTCTACGTAGACCTGCAGCAATCAGTCAGTCTGACTTCCCTTTCATTTCTCCAGGTCCCCTTCTACTTTAGCATTATTTTTCTTTTCCTTTTGGGGGGGGGGCAGGATTGCATGTGAAACATTCTTCTGAAAATGCTTCACTTGGATCTCTTTTTTTCCCCATTCCTCCTCTCCTTATTTGTCTTCTCTTCCAATATTTTGACTCCTGGGCTTACAGAGTATTTCTTCTCCTCTTTTCTGGAATAGTGCCTGTTTCACAGAGGCAGTTGAGTTCACAACTCAGGCGTCCTTTAACTGACCTAGCAATAGGGCCAGCGTTATCGTCCTTGTTTTGTAAGAAAACACTGACATTCCATGGCCTGGATTTGTATCACTTCAAAGGGCATAAAGGCATGCAGAAATCTGATTGTGAGCCAGGAGAAATATCTGGAAAAAAATGTAATATAAAAATGTGAAAGCTTGTTTTTTCATTGTATATTTCACCTACTTAGAAGAATATGGGCTGATGAACAGATTTCAGTTTGTTTCATGGGCTTTGATCACTATTTTTTCCCTTGCAATAAAAATATCACATATATTTATTTATTTATTTATTTATTTTATTTGTTTGGATTTTTATCCCGCCCTTCTCCTTACGGACTCAGGGCGGCTGACAGCCTGGTAAAACAGATACAGAGATAAAAATACCCACTTTAAAACCTAATTAAAATGAAATATTTGATGTGGCCTGTGTCAATTTAAAATTATTCTTAAAACCCCACTAAAAATTCCCCTAGGCCAATCCCGCTTGTTGGAAGNCCAGCCGGCACTGTCTGGCTGACGGCACCCTGAGGAGACCCACTCTGTGGGAGCGTACCGGCCAATGGGAGGTAATCTGCGGCAGAAGGCGGTCTCGGAGATATCCAGGTCCGATGCCATGGAGCGCTTTGAAGATGATGACCAACACCTTGAAGCGCACCCGGAAGGCCACCGGCAACCAGTGCAGCTCGCGCAGCAGTGGTGTTACCTGGGAGCGACGAGTCCCTCCCAACACCGCCCGCGCGGCCGCATTCTGGACCAGTTGGAGCCTCCGGGTGCTCCTCAAGGGAAGCCCCATGTAGAGAGCGTTACAGTAGTCCAGGCGGGAGGTGATATATGTAATTATTCTTCTGACAGAGGATAGAGTTCTCATTTGCTACTCATATATCTGGGCAACTATAAAAATATTCAGTAACTTTATGATATTTTTTTGAAGATACCTTACTAAGGGAAGGAAGGCAAAGTTTTAGACTATTAAAACTGCAATTGGGGAAGGGAGGGTGAATGGAAGACACAATTATTGCTGTTTAAAACTATCTTTATATGAAGAACTTGGTAGAATTCACCATGGAATGTCTCTATAGCATTTATTGTTGTGAAAAAGCTTCCAAATTTTCATCTTTGAATTATGAAATGGGCAAGTTAACAATATTTATTGATTAAATTTATATAGTTGCCCATCTATATATGCCATCGTTCTGGGCACCTTACAAAATCAAAGTTGTCAATGGAGATTGCCTTCTATTTTTTATTTTTTATTTGCTGGCAATTAACATTGAGGGATCAGTCAATTGGATCCAGATGTAGTGATTCATATGAGGAAATCAACACTCATCATCTGAGTTTCTCTCATTCTTTGCATGATAGAAAAAAAATGTCAGGTTATGTCACCTCTTGCATATGTAAGAGTATCAGTTCCTCCTGGATTATTGCAGAACCTGAACATTTCTGCAAATACTTATGCAAATACCTGTAAAGTTACATTTCTGAGCTGCTAAAATTCTGTGAATCCAACCAGTGTAAGCCAAGATAGGAAGGTTGTATATTATATTGTAATGTATCTGTAATTATAAGCAAGACATCGACACAGCTTCTGTTCTTGCTGTGTCAATGTCTTGCTTATACCCATTCTACCCATTGTTGGGAGTTCTGCTATGTAAATCCAGCTATACTTTCATGAATTTAGAAAGTGTCCTTTTTTATTATCATAGGAAGGAATAGTAATTGTTCTTCAGAATATAAAGTAATAACTCTCGGGAGAATAAAAACAGAATCTCCTGTACTATTTTGGTGGTAAAAAGCAGTTATTACACAGACTTCCTCAATACATGCAGAATCTCAGAAATATCTGGAGAATTCTGAGAGTTGAAGTCCATACACTCCGGAGACTTGAAGAAGCTTGTTGAAGAAAGCTGTCTTGGAAGAAGCATAATAGTCCATGTGCCTTCTATTTCTTTTTGTTCAAGTTGGTGGAAAAAGGAAAGTAGTAAATCATGATTTCTGCACTTTTCTATATTCTTCTCCTAATCTGAGGAGAAGGAGGAGGAGGAGGAGAGGATGTGGCTACTATTAGATATCAGGGGTAGTAGTCTTAAAGAAGGGGCCAGAAAAAGACGCCAGCATTCCATATTCTTGGCTGGAAAAAAGCGCTGTCTTGTGGGAAAGCTTGTGCGTCTCTTTGGAATATGTTCCCAAATAGCAATGTCCTGCTGCATAAATACAGGCAAAATTGCAGAGGACATTCTGGTTTAAACCTGTTTCGATATCTCTGGGGCTTCTTCGCTTGTTTCCCGCCCCTCATTAAAACTAAAAGTAGGCTTTTAATCAAATGCTGATCTGCATTTTAAAAATGCATTATTAGTTAACCTCGTTCCTTTCTTCTCTTGATAATTATGCTCCATCTTTTCCTCTTTTTTGCTTTATTTACCCAGTCAAGCATGTCAAGGATGCATAATAATAAATGTTGCTGATAAAATAAAAAAAATATATGTTACCCTACACAATAGTATTTTTATTTGAACACCCAACCCATATCTTTCTTCATTACAGGTAAACAGGTGCATGCACTGATAAAAAATAAATAAAGTAGGGTTCTTCTATGCCATTTTCATTCTGACTACCTCTCCTTTGAAACCATTCCCACCTGAACCACGGGATGCTACCATTAAATTATGTTTGTTTCAATATACTTTCAGGGCGTGATAACTGCAGAAGATGAACAAGCATGGATGGCTTCTTATAAATATGTAGGTGCCACAACTAATATACACCCGTACTTGTCAACATTGATCAACTACGCGCAGCCTGTTAAATTTCAAGGTTTCAGTGTAGCAGAAGGTAACTTTAAAAGATTTTTAAAAATAGTGGTGTTTTTTTTCCTTATTGCTGTAGCAGTAGTTATTTTTACAGGCAGTCCTTAACTTAATGATCCCGACTGAGCCCAACATTTCTGTTGCCAAGGGAAACATATTTTAAGTGAGTTTTGCCCCATTTTACAATCTATCTTGCCACAGTTGTGATTGTTAAGCGAATCTGGCACCCAGCCCCATTGACTTTGCTTGTCAGGAGGTGGCAAAAGGATCATGTGACCTTGGGACACTTGCAACTGCCATAAATATGAGTCAGTTGCCAAGCGTCTGAATTTTGATCATGAGGATGCTGCAACGGTCGTAAGTGTGAAAAATGGTCATAAGTCACTTTTTTCAGTGCTGTTATAACTTTGAACGGTCACTAAATGAACTGTTATAAGTCAAGGACTACCTGTATTCTTCCTCATTAGTGTATATATTGGGTAGGCAACCTTGGCTCTTTTATGACTCATCGACTTCAACTCCCAGAATTCCTGAGCCAGCATAGCATAGAATTCTGGGAGTTGAAGTCCATGAGTCATAAAAGAGCCAAGGTTGCCTTGTAAGGTAACACTTTTCCTAATGTTTAGTGTTATCCTTTCTCCACTTGGGGGCAGCAGATTACAAAGAGAAAGTTAACTAGCATTGGCGCCCATCTGAGTTTGCTCAGAACAGATTACTTTATTCATTTGGCTTGATTTTGATTTTCTGCTTTTCTCCCTTCCATTAAATATCCTAGGTATCTGAAGTTTACCTGTGATGTTTATTCTTTTTCTGACTTAAAAACATCTTTTTTTTTAATTTCATGCTGTTCTACTGCTTGAGCTTAATTAATCATTTCTACCTCATTTCTTGTCGCAATTAATCTGGCTGTCAGTTCTAGGAGATAAATATTGTTATTCCCTATTTATACTTTATGTGGATTTCTGTAATTTCTTTGTTGGGCATATCTTTCAATTTCATTTTTGTAATAAATACGTTTTTGTACATAATATTTTAATACTCTCCTAATCAACTTTTCATTCTGAAAACTTTACAAAACAGATTTTATGATTTTCTTTTTAGAACGCAACATTCACTACAACATGTCCTCTTTTAATGAGTCTGTCGGGTTGGGCTATTTGAAGACCCACGCAATTGAATTTGTGAAGTATCCTTGCATTGAGGCAGCTCTAATGAGGCTATTTAGTCTTAAGAAGCAAGGAGCCAATTCTGCAACTAACAACACACAGTATTTAATAAAACACAGTACAGTATGTACTTTGTGAAAAATGCCTCATGAATTAAAACATTTTAAAAAATGAAGATGTGAAGATAGGATCATTCTACCTCTTGTTTGTTTGGTTATTCCAATTTTCTTGACTAATAATACAGCTACAATAAGCGGCAAATGAGTCGGATATACCCAAAGGGAGGCAGAGTGGATTCCAGCAATTACATGCCTCAAATTTTCTGGAACGCTGGATGCCAGATGGTCTCCCTTAACTATCAGACCCCAGGTAAGCAGACCTACCCATCGACTCTAAATCTCAGAGAATGGCAGCTTGAGTAGGAGCTTTCTGCCAGATGCTGCAACTTTTGCTCCTGGCATTGCTGGAGGATTCATTCACATGGTTAAATATAAGTATCTACATCCAGCCAGGCAGACAATTAGATTGAACACAGTAAAACATATATGCACCCTTTTCTGCATGTTTTCGTACATCAGCATAAAACTGGATGATAGATAGATAGATACAGTAGATAGATAGATAGATAGATAGATAGATAGATAGATAGATAGATAGATAGATAGATAGATAGATAGATAGATAGATGCTGTAAATAGATGGATAGAGAGAGAGAGGATGGATGGATGGATGGATGGATGGATGGATGGAATTTCTAGGAACAATTAGTAGGAATCATTTCTGAGTAAAAACATAAGGGACAATACTAGGAACTACAATTAAAACGTTATGTTATGTTGAGCCAGAGAACTTGTTTCTTTTCTTTGTAGTGAGTGAAATAATGGTGATTAACTAGCTAGTATTGAAGCCAGTTGCTTCTCCAAAAAGCAGAAATCATCATATTATTAGGTGTCACTTTCTTTAGTGTGTTAAAGGTGTGCTCTTGCTTGTTTTTTTTTTTTTCAATAAATTTTTTTATTATTTTCATCATAAAAAAGACATCACAAATATAACACAATATAATATA